TATTGCAACTTCATTAGACTTTATTATTGCGCTTTTCATAAATGTATACTATTTTAAAAGTCACTTACACCCAATGATGTTTTGTCCATTATTTTGATAGCAACTTTTTCGCCGGTTGCAATATGCGTGGCAAGTTTAACTTTAGCAAAACCTCCGCTACCGATGGTCTTTTCCAAATCGTACAAGCCTTTAAGTGCAGCATATCGTACCATTTTAATAAATTTATGAAAAGTTCACTGATAAGTACTAATTATTCGCTGTCAATCACATCACTTTTGAACTCACAAATTTTAACGTAAACAAGATTTGAAAGCCAATCAAAACTTACCATCATATAAAGCTACCTTCAGAGTATTAATAGTACCAATATAAAAGTATAGTTAGAAATTTGTAAGAATGTCTTATACACTACGTTGGAGACTTATTTCACATATACATAATTTGTATTGGCAACTGAATTTGTGATAGTAGTGATAAATTAAGAATTTTTTATTTAGGATATAATACCTCTTCTTTATTTTGAATAATGATTATACAATATATTAATATATTCGTTTAAATCATATGCAAGTGGCATTAATAATTGTTCAATAATTATTTATATTTTCATCATTTTATCTAAATTTCGTAACTTGCTAAAAATAGCTTTACCAAGTAAAATATATGTACTTCCATTTGTAAGATTAGATATTTTCTAAGATTACATACAAAAAATATTGAAATTATAGAATAGGATATTCATTTGTAAAAAAACATTCTCAAATTTAACTTATAAGTATATATTAAACATTAACTACAAAAGTACTTTTAATTTACAATATGATGCTATATAAATAGAAGATATACTTGGTATTAAATATTTCAGCTTTATGTTCGTTTGAAAAACATATAGAAGTAAAGAGTCAAACAATTATAGCTTTCAACACATTGTATTCATCTTTGCAGAAGTACAAAAATTATACTAATTATTCTAATTATAAGAAAATTAAAATTTACATTTAAACACCATAACCAATATTATGATTTAATTATTACAAATTTAAATCAGTGTTTTCTATACATAAATTCATAGATCCTGTAAAGAAACAAATTCTAGCAAAAAATTTGAAAAGATAATTGAAATTCGCTTCATAAATTATATTTTTTTCTGTATTATGCAGACAAAGTAATAAGGAAATATTGAATTTAGTCTTTGGAGTGCTGACTACTAGAACTAGTTGAACGTGAGCGGCGTTTAAATTTTGGTTGAATGTTAGAGTCTGAGGTATTATCACTTTTTCTTCGATTTTTATCATAACGGGATGAATTCATATCCATATCGTAGTTAGAATTAGAATTGTTTGTTCTTCTATAATCATTGCGTCTATCGTAATATCTATAATTATCTCTGCCAGGCCTGTTAATCCTATATGAATCTCGTCTTCGAGGATAATAGTTTCTTCTATTTCTTCTGTCACGACTATTTCTACGGTCATAATCTCTATCTCGAGATCTCCGTCGATCTCGCGATCTGGACCGACCACTTCCACGCCTTTTGCTTCTATCACGCGATTCTCGCCGTGACGATCTATCACCATACGATCGATGTAAGTCGCGCTTAATTACCTTTTCATTTTTATGTTTCCCATCTACTTTATCTTTTGTGATAGCATCGTTAATATCTATACTAGCATTTACGTCATCTTGATCCTGGTCTGCGTTTTTACTGGCACTCTTTTTTTCATCTGTCTGATCATTTTCTTTATTTTCTAATTCTTCAGATATATGTGCTTCGACATCAAATTTGTCCCCTACTTGGTTATCTTCATCAGGATTTTCAGTAAATTTTTTAATCCTATCGGCTTCGCGTTTCTTTAATTCCTCCTCTTTCTTTAAGCGTTCTTTCTCTAATTTCTGTAATATAAATTAGAATATACAAAAATATAGTTATGATTTAATTAAATATACTACACATACCTGAAATTCATGTAACTTAATAGTACGATTTTGAGCTTGTTTCCAATGAGGTGGTGTGACACTTCTCGAACGGCTACGTGAAGGCGTATGATATCGCTAAAAATATATTTATTTATTCATTTACTTTACTTTAACTTTAAAAAGTTTTAAAAGCAAGAAGTGGTTTATCATAATGAAATTCATTCACAAAATTTATACATACCATATGTTGTATTTTGCATACAAATACTTACAAATATTCCTCTTCCTTTAAAAATGCGACCAGTTTTTCTATGTGATCGTACCCGGTCTCTCCCGTAGTGTTGCCTAAATTCTTTCTGATTTGCATTATTGGTAGGTCCTGCTCTATATAAAAATTTATTTGCTGGTACTTCAGGAATTTCATCAGGATCGATTTTTGTAACCGAAACAAGAGGATGAGGTTGTCCAAGGTCATCTTCATTTGAATCATGAATTTCACCATCCTCTGATTTTGCTCTTTTTTTACTGTAATATAAACAAGTAGTGCAGATATTTCTATAATAGATGCAATATTCTTAATATTAATTTAATTATAAGGCTTGAATGCACTTTACTTTTTCTTCGCTTTTTTCTTCTTCTTAGGTTTCTCTGCATATGAATCAGAATCAGAATCAGACGAACTGCTATCCTTTGTCTCGCGTTTCTTTGCTGTAAACATAAATATAGTTAATTTTAACTATCTCATTAATTCTCTTAATATAACAATTTATAGCAACTGAAACATACTTTTATTTTTGACTTTCAATACAAGTTCTCCACAATTTACAACCTTCGCATCTTGTAACGGACGAGACATGCGGTCTACTGGAAGTCCCTCAATATGTGTAACAATTTCCTGGCCCGATACTACTTCTCCAAAAACCACATGGACACTAGAAATTTAACATTTAAATATTGAAAGCAGTGTTTAAGAATCTTTTTAATAGTCAAAACATTATTTATTGTTACTTACTTGTCGAGGTGAGGCGCTGGTTGTGTTGTACTACAACAACAAAATATGATTAAGGGGATGAGAGATGAACAGAAAGAGCCAGCTTTCATTGGTCATTGTGTTGTAGTAGTGGTGTGCAGACCCTTCCCTCACGACTACACAGAAATATAGCTAAGTTATTCATTCCTTCAAAGATATTCTTACTTCTATACTTTTCAATATTCACCGGAAAAATTAAGTGTTTCATATAATTTATTAAATACCAAACAACATTACAATGACATGATTAACATCAAGAGGTGATAGAAGATAATCAAATTCTTTGCTAAAATTAACAAACCCAATTATCCTTTTATTTAATTATATCACCTGTTATTTAGTTGGGGTACATTTGAAAATATATTAGCATGGAAAAATGTTGAGATATGAAAATAAATGTATATTAAATTCCTATTACCTTTACCTTTGAGGTTGACAAAGTATACATCTGTCAGCAGAGAAACAATTTTAAGCCAGTAGAAATATTAAAAAATAAAATTCATACACAAACAAAAATTCTCTTTGCAAGTATAAGTATTAACCTTTAAGCTGATCATCTTTGTTAATAGTACATGCAAAATAAATGTTTAGTAAAACAATATAGTGCATTAATATCTTATAACTTTTAAAGATACATATTACACCATCCTGCACTTTTTTTTTATTATAAATCTAATCAATTACTTTAGGCTATTTAAGAAGTACATTTTTATATTATTTTATTAAAGTTTGTATACTTATTTTTTCATAAATACTCACATAAAAAATTGTGAACCATTTGTGTCTCTACCACGATTTGCCATAGATAATAAAAATGATTTATTATGTCTTATAACAAAATTTTCATCTGAAAAATATTATTATAAATAAATCATATTTAATTTTAATTATAATAGCTAAAATATATCTGTTTATGTAAATATACCTGCAAATGTTCCACCATAAATTGACTCTCCTCCAGTTCCATTACCTACTGAAAAATCACCACCTTGAATCATAAAATCTTTAACTACTCTATGAAAAACAATTCCTTTATAATGCAATTGTTTGCCAGTTGTTTTTCCAAGTCCTTTCTCTCCAGTACATAGGGCACGAAAATTTTCACATGTCATCGGACAAATGTCTGCAAAGAGTTCAAATACCACTCGACCCATTGGGAGACCGCCCACCTCTATATCAAAGAACACTCTGGGATTAACATTAACCATGATTTCTTCTTTTGTATACTCCTGAAAATGTAAAAGAAAATAAAATCCATGCTTGTTATAAATATCATCCAAAACATAATAAAAGTTATTAATTCATTGGAAGATTACAAATGTTTTTTTAGAAATGTGTTAATCAAATTTGGAAGTGATTCACAATAATATAATGTTTAAATATATTTATGGGAAAAATAGATTGTTACCGTGATGTTGAAAAATAAAAACACTGATGAAATTCAGAAACCGAAAGTTCCGGAAAAAGGTTAGAATCGCTTTGCGCAATTACTTCTGATACTTAGTACACTACCTATTTATTAAAATCTAAGTAGTATATCAATCATTTTTTTATACGTCAGCACAACGTTATTATAGTAATGCGATAATATCTTCATTCGATCAACGTAAGCACGGACGCAATTACTTATAAACCCGATCACCCGATGCCATATTGTTGAAATCATGGGAGCATTGTCAATATATTACGTACTCACGGTTACCAACAAAACGTACTAGTATTTTTTTCCCCTATATCAGCACACGATTGATTTATCGCCGAATTTTGTATAGGCAATGTGTTGTTATTAGGAAAGTTTTAATTTTAGGAGATCTACTGAAATCTGTCATGAAATCTATCTTCAGATAAAATTCTTTATTTTAAGTAAAATTTTAAGAAAACTGGGCGATAATAGATCGTTTTTAATATTATCGTTAGTTTTCATCAGTTAAATTTCTAACATTATTCAAAACATTTATAACCATTTCACGTATTAAAATCTTTAAGTATGTATTTGCATTTCCTTATTGCTAAATCGATTGATTGATTTGAATAGAAATGACGTATGAATGATAAAGTGATTTTTGATACCATTTAAATCTTTTAACAAGACTGATGAAATTAATCAACTGATTCGTAATGATAAGCTAGGGAAAGACAAGAAAATCACACAACCAGCTTGTTCACACGCACAATAGTAAGTGTTGGTGATGAAAATGAAAAGTGATGTATAACGAGTGACGAATACCATAATACTATGAATAATTGTTTCACTAGGAAGATCAACAGTGCAGTATTCAACCAAATGGACCTATAATGCTAACAAGCTTGTAAATATTGTACTTTACAGAAGTTGTTATACAGCTAATTAAGTGTTTAACGCAATTCATTAAGTCATTTAAGTCATTTGTCAGAATAACTAAACATCTTTTTTAAACGAAGCACGATTGGACATTTACATAGTTATCAGTGTAGTTATTATAATAGAAATTATCAGTTTTTAAAAGTTTGTTTAAATACGCTCTAATATATATTTCTATTTTTATTCATTTTGAGCAATTGTTATTATTAATTCCGAAAATTTGGTGGTACATAAGTTTTTAATTTCAATAATCCACAAAGTACTTAATTTTTTTTTAGGTAAGTCATATTAAGCATTTAACTATAACTATCTATCTATTACAAATTTTCCAATATTGAAATATAACAAATCAAGCACACATTAAAAACAGTTTGTGCTACTAAATCAAATTAAAATATATAAAGTAAATGTTTAGAATGTTTTAAAATAATAAAGTTTGTATATATATTATAACATAAACTTAAGCAATAAATTTAGACATCTGTGTAATGACAAATATAATTCTATAGGTGAATGGACGACACAAAGTTAAACAAATATAATGCAGCCCCAATTAGTTACAACTCCACGAAAACTACCAGTGTTTGTATTTCCTCAAAATATCACTTTTTTTTTAGACGATCAGTCTACTCACAAACAAGTCTTAACTTTGTATAACCCATATGATTTTCCAATAAGATTTAAAGGTATATATTGTTATTATGCGAGCTAATAGTTAAGTAAAAGTTTCAACATAATTCGTTATAATTACAGTATTATGTACTGCACCAAATAAATATAAAGTTGTTGAGCCTGAAGGAACAATAAAAGCAAGATATTGTATTGATATTGTTGTCAGACATACAGCTCTTGTGTTTAGTAATTGTAATGTTGTTGACAAATTTAGAATACAAATGCAAGAACATCCAACTAAACAGGTAATTAAACATGTAATAAAATGATTATGTTTAAATATAAGAGTAAATATAATTCCATTAGCAAAATAGTATAATCTTATACTCTTTGGAAATTAATAGGCCATAGGACAAAGAGATGTTGAAGCTAAATTACTTCCTGGCACAACAGAAGCAGCTGGAAGATCTACACCAGATCCTGAAATGTTTCAACAGCTTCCCATAAATGAAACCAGACAGCAACAATCATATGCTCTTATAGCTCAAAATAGAGCCATTAATAGTAAGTCAAAAATATCTATAAATAGTTACTTATTATGCATTATTATAATGTACATCATTTTTTTATAAGCAGCATGATACATTTTTTTGAATGGCAAAATTATTATTTACAATTACAGAATACACACTGAAACCACCAAGATCAAAACATGATTTATTTCGTGGAAATATTCAAAATAAGAACACAGAAATTTACTTATCTTCAGATATGAATTATGTTATGGATAAAGGTTAATAAGTTAGTATTTAAAATTAGTTTTTGGATTTAAATACTATTTAATACTAGCTTATTTAATACCAGCTTGATATTTAGTTATTTAGTTTGAGGTCATATAATACTCCATATTTTTAATGCCATTCAATTTTAATATATCTGATAAGAATAAATTTCTTTAGTATATCTATTTCAATTAAAAAATTCTTTTATATGCAAATTTGCATACTACTCCTAGTAAGCTATAAGTACAAAAATAAATGCTTTTAAAATAAAAAATTAGATATTTTAAATAAAAAATAAAGTATTTTAATAAGTATTTTAATAACTTTTAGGAGGGACAAATTATATAGCACTGATTGCTGGAATCATTTGCATAGTTGGATTGCTCTTACCTACAGAAGGAGAGCAGAATAATAGAGTGCCTGATTATCTTCATCTCTCCATAAACTTTAAGTTAATATTTTCATTTGTATTGGGTAAGTATTTATTATTTATGTTTTGGTTAAGAAAACATAAACAGTATTTTTTCATTTATTACAGGTATGGTTACAATTATTACTTTAAGGTTGTAATTTCTGTCTTTATATATACAAAAAAAGTTTTATATAATGATTAGAATCATGAAATAAAAGCACAATTAATGTTAGGTTTTCTTGGCATTGGGCCTCATTTCTTTTTACTGAATATACTTGATTCTAGTCTAAACACAACAAATCATGACGATATACTGTCGCTAACGCAAATATTTATTGACATATATAAAATCTTTTATTCTTTTAATGTACGTGATGGTAAATATCCTTGTCCAAGTTTGTGCTTCATTGCCTCAAGCGTATAAAAGAAATTTGTATATATATTAAAACTTTAACAAAATCACAGTCTTTTATATATTCCAAGTTGAAATATAAAAATACATTAATTTTTATATTGGAATTAATATTTATATTTCGATCAAAATGCTTTGTGTATGAAAGCATTATGTACAAAATACATTAATAATTATGCATATATTCTAAAAAATCACGATCTCGTGTAAAAATGTATAAATATCCTATGTAAAATGGGCTCCAAATTTTAAGTACTCTTAAATAAAAGTATTTGGCATATAGAATGATTATTTATTGTTATAATTATAACATCATAATTATAACATAATCCAACTATATATAGTAAAAACGATAATTATAAAAATTTCACATATACATTTTGCAAATAAGATTATTTTTTTATTATCAACATGTATTTATTATTTACATAAGTTACAATGGGATACTTGTGAATCAAATGTGTTATCAAATAAGATGGCCATTTAAATTTTGTTGTTGTAAAATATTTTCCACCTAAATGTCATCTTTTCACAAGTATCTATGAGCTAAATATAGAAATACACAAAGAGTGCTGTTTTATAAACACATATTTTTTCATTGTGATTTTCTTTATAATAATAGAATATAATTTACCTGAAGGTCGACAAAGAACTCGAATCTCTGAGTTAGCATCACAAGACTTTAGAGCCGATGAACATTCTTCAAACTTTCATTATGAGTTTTGTATTCCATTGAGGCACTTGCTGGAAGATGTAAGACCCTCCTTAATGTATCTCTAATACGTGCTGTTGTCGCATAATCAGATGCAGTCTTATTCCATACACATATTATGTCTTCCTGTTAAAAATAAGAATACCTAATGACTTGCAATATACATATATATAGATTAATATTTTCAGGTAATAAAAATTACCATACCTGAAACCTAATAGATACAACAGCTCCACATATCTCTTCTCCAACCATAAATTGTTCTCCTAACATAGCTAATACAAGATTTTCCCAACATCTAGAAACTAAACCCTTTCTTAACCGTACTATCCATTTACCACCTTTCTGATTTGCCTCATCCTGGGAAAAGATCATTTGTTATAACTAAATTACTCAATAAGAATAAATTTTTTATACAGTACAAGAGGCACTAAACACATACTTCCCACATTGGTTTTATGCCAACTTTGAAAAGATGGAAATCTGTAGATGTTGTTAACTCTGATGGCCGGACTAAATGACTGTAAAGACTCCAAAACTGCTCCACGCTTGCAAACCTACCAACCAATTTTAAATTTTGGTCGTAACTTTGTATACTTGATTGTTTACCAGGACTGCGTCGACTATACCATAACGCATATGCATATTGTAATTTATGCTCATTTGGACTAATTTCTATAGAAGGCTATAATAAATATGTGCTATTTAATTAGAGCATATCAATTGAATGAAAAGAATGTACAACACTATTTACTTACTAGTAAATTTTTTTCAGTTTTTTTATTATCTTTTGATTGTGTTTCATCATTCCCATTGTCTTCATTAGTTTTTAACCTGCAAGTACTACTATAATTTACAACATGAGTTTCACAAATACTGTTATTAAATCATCTTTATAATATTTTATGTAATTTTTTATTTAGAAAACAATATGCTACAGACTTTATACATTTGTTTCTTATAAATTATAACATATGATTATTGATTCTATATAGTCGTATGCAGAAAAATGAATTCAATTATTATTTGGTAATTGATCAAAATGTCAAAAACAAATAATAAAAATAACAATCGAAAATTCAAAAGACGTAGGTGTATTTAGATTCTGACAAATGTCAAGGTACATCACGTGTTTTGTTATTTTGAACTAGTTAGACAATACTGTGCGCAAGCTAGCAATTAACCCATTAAATGTATAAAAAAAAGCACGCTGAGGGCGTTAAACAAGAAAGTATATCAATGAATTTTGATTTCTATTTAAAACAGATCTAACCTCTAACTAGCCTAAACAAAAAGGCACGACAAATAAGAACGCTAGTTTCACTTACGCCTCAAATTTATTAGACATGTTTCACGCTGTAATATAAATCTATTGTTTAAAGGCTATGGATGATATATATTTCAATAAATACAAATAAAAATAGAAAGACTTTTCAATGTCTGTTTCCTTTTCACAGGTTCTCTCATGTGTATGTTTTCGATAAATTGTTGATCTCCCCCTCTATTTTCTTTTTTGTCACTTTGTTATCGGAGATTTTACATTTTGATGTTGGTCATACTAAATGTATATATAAAGTAGCAGCGCGATATATAAAATATTGTACAAAAATCATTATAAAAATTATTATTTTTATATACAATATATTATAAGTACATTGTGAATTTAAAAGCAGCGTAAACTATATATTTTAACTTTTTTAAGATCAAGAAAGTAAATCTATGACAATATTAACTGTTTTTAATTTTTAGCCTCTGAGAATTTTAATTTCAATCTTTTCATAATTTCTTCTCGTTGATACATAACTTCTCTGTAACATAACGGTGAAAATGCAATTGGACATTCATATTGTACGGTTTCGATACACTTTGTATCCGTTGCACCATCTCGATCGAATCTGAATTGCGAGATCGACTCCACTGAAACGAAAATCAGAATTTAAGATTAAAATCATTTGAAAGTCTCATTTGGTGTCGGTACTGGTCTCTAATTTCATAAGGAACTTCTTTTTTTTCCCCGATAGAAACGATCACTCACAGCATCCAAATTTGGGGAAGAAACACGTTTGATGTTTCGAAGTAATCAAGTAACCATTATTATCTTCACGTATGGCGTAATGTCCATGCGCTATATTTCGTATAATTGGTATATGACTCAAATGTTCAGTATATTCGACCGAATATTTCCAATGATCGTAATTGCCGCTTTCTGCGATAATATTAAAATCTTCTCTGTAAATATTAACAAAAGTTAAAAAGAAAAGAGAAAGAAAAAGACTGTGGTGAGAAACGTTTTACATACATTGTTGGATTTAATTTTTTCATATTACTAAAATCCGCAACGAATTCCCATACATGTATAGGATTTGAATTTTTTATTATTCCTTCGAACAGTACATGATGTTTTTTCTTATATACAAAGAGAACATAAAAGATAAAAAGTGTTAAAATAGTGTAGAGTACATTTCTGGTTTTCCACTTCATTGGATTGATACCCATTTCTAAAAGAATAATTTTGTAGCACGATAATAATTCTATGAAAAATCTTTTTACGTACAATATAGAAGTAAAACTATACTTGCTGACACATACAATTATCATACTCGTGCTGTTAATATAAACATCCGAAACGAATAAAGAATGTCTCATATTGTACATTACAACTTTTTTAAAAACTAGAAAAAGAAGGTATTCCTCACTTACTTGCACCAAATATTTAAAATGAAATAAAAACGGTTTCCTTTTTATTGAAAATGAAACAAAAGCAGTTTTCGAGTAAATTATAGTTTTTTATTACTATACGAATTGAATTTGTATGTATGTATTTGATATTGTGAACTTCCGCCAGCGAGATAAACTAAATATGTAATGATACTGCCTTCGTTTCAAATATCAAAGGAAGAATGTTGAAGTAGTTACTGCTTCACAATTCGCTACAAAATGTTCTATTTCCCTCCGCTACTTTAGCTTTGGCCACGACGTTTTCCGTCGTTTGGTTGTATATACATGTGATCCCTACTACCTTCTCTAGTGGTTCTGTAGCCCCACCTCTTTATCAAACTAATGTGCATGCGTATATACACGACAATGGTATATAGGTATATACGAAACCTAACTGTACCAAATGATGTGATTAATGGCGCGAAATGGAGCATAATATATTTTAAAACTCGATAGAACATTTAACAAACATTTTAAGTATGTAATAATATTTTACAATGTTTTATCCACCTTTCTACATATTTTAAAAGTATTAAAACTTCTGTGGCTAGATTGAAAAATATCGATAGCCGAATTTAAAAAATTTGGAATGATGAATGCAGGTAAGTGTTTTAATTTTAAAGGATGATTCCTCGAGTTTTGACAGTTATTTAGTATGTAACAGATCATCTAAACTATTTTAGTTACTAAAATATTTTTCGTTGCTAATATGCCAAAAGAGTAATATATTAATATTATATAAAATTATCACACACTTTAGAGTAAGCGTAAAAAAATAATATAAACTGAGGTCGCTTGTATTAATAATTATTCAAGGTTGTAAAAAATCCCATTTATTAACATAATTTAATTAGAAGTTTCACATTTTAAATATTACAAATTACAAAACGTGCAGATATACATATTATACAAAACGCGTTACCTTCTCAAGTGGACTAAGATAAATACATTCAATAAATTTTACATAGCTCTTTTAATATATACATAACAATGAATCTTGTTGAAGCATTGGCATGCCAGTCTTTATAAAATTGGCCTATAAAATTGTAAAAAATAATTTGCTACACAATAACAACGAGTAGGCGCATTCGCCATTAATTTCATAATACTTGATTTTATTATAAAAGACTGCTTTTTCTTTGCGTTAACAACATTTTTCTGTTGTAATTTTTGCTTTATGAAGCATAGACTTTACGTATTGGGGCAATAACATTTTTAGTTCATGCGGCACAGACATAGATCTGAAGTTTAGTAATCTTATTAAACCATTCTGGTAACCAGCCACCATCCACAGGTAACTCCATGCATTCGGATTCCAAGACATCTAGAATTTATTATTTAATTTCAGTATCGAATAAAAATATCAATTAAATGAAAACAGTTGTGATATACGTACTCGGTTTACAGACATGAATGGATATTCTTCAAGCGGAACTTCTGGTAGTTCCTCCTCATTCTGTTGTTCCTGCTCATCACGTTTAACGTCCTTTAAATATAATAGAATAAAATAGTAATTTGAAAACAATAAAAAATAAAATACATTACGCAGTGAGACTACTTACTTTCAATTTATCACAAAAAATAATACCGAATCGATCCTGGCACTCATCATAAGTTCCTGGCATGTAACAATA